AAAAATGTTTTTACATAAAGCATATACTGTGAAAGTTGAGTGATTAACTTTACACCATTTGCTACAGACTTGCTTTCAGCTCACTAGTCTCTATATATAGATTACAGATGTATATATTTTACATTATAGATCAGTGTTTCTGCCATGCTCATAAAAGTCACAAAGGCCCTGTTTACACCTGGTATTAAAATGCATTTTGGTCAATCAATCACAAGTGGTCGACTCTAAATACAGGTGTAAAAGTAGTTGAAAACTTTCATAGTGTAAACACTCACGTGGTCGAATGCGTTCGAATAGCCACAAAAGAACTCCTCTCCGCCTACTGACCTAATGTGTACACATTATGGGAAGCGTGTAGCCAGACGGGATTTAAACTTTGTCGGCTGAAGACCCAAGTTTAGTTTGAAGATGAAAAATGTACCAAGCACAATGTTCTCTCACCATTCCTGATTTTGAACACACACTCACAGCGTTCAGCACGGTCTTGTGGCTTTCAAGAAACTAAAGGTGCTGCTCTCTGTGTGTTTTTCCGTCATCTCCGGTGGCTCATGCGTAAATTGCACAAGCTTATTTTGTCCATTAGATCTCATAGACCCTCCCCTCAACGAAGTGGTTGAAAGTGGTCAAAAGAGACAGATTAAAATACCAGGTGTAAACGCCAGTATGTGTCTCCCTCGACTACTTGTGATCCGATTGACCAAAACGCATCTTAATACCTGGTGTAAACGGGGCCAAAGTCTTCAGTATTACTTAAAAATCAGGTGTGTATGATTTGGCATGGAGCTAAACTCTGCAGGACAGTGGCCCTCCTGGACCAGAAATCGCTGGTTTATATTCCCAAATCCAACCCATATTGGACTATAAGCTATTTGAGAATTGCTAATTCACCAAAGTTATTCATTTCTGAACTTGTTTTTGTTTGTTTAAATCTAGGTGTGGCAATGTAAACTGGGCCAGAAGATCAGAGTGCAACATGTGTAACACTCCTAAATATGCCAAACTGGAGGAAAGGACAGGTATGCTTTGTCTGTTCAAAATAGAATGCTAGTATAATTTTTTGCATATTGACGGAATCTTTTTGCCATTATTTTTGGTTAATCCCATATGCGTGATGCATGTCTCAACAGGATACGGTGGAGGATTCAACGAGAGAGAGAATTTAGTCTACAATGAGCGAGAGGAGTCTGATGGCGAGTATGATGAGGTCAGTAGGAATTATTTTTTTTCAGTCTACAGAGATGAGTAGTTCTTGTTATTAAGAACAGATTTATGTAATTTGTCGTCATTTAATTATTTTGTCGGTCTTCTGGACAGTTTGGGCGCATAAAAAAGAAGTATCGTGGGAAAAGTAAGAAGGACACTGAAAAGAAAGAGGAACCAAAAAAAGAAGATAAAAAAGATGATGATGGTGATGATGATGAGGAAGACGAAGATGAAGGAGATCTTTCAAAATACAAACTTGATGTAAGTGATTTATTTTCTGTCGGTCTGTGTTAGTGGTCTTATACTTTTTTTGCATTTTGAAACAAATTTTATTAGCTATATTAGACCACACTATCAATTTATTTACTTGTAAAAGTACTGCAGTCATACAGATAGGATTTGAATAACAAATTGTAATATGCTGAACAAATCCTTGTATCTTTAGCAGATATATGAACATACTGTCACAGTGGTTGATGTGCTTTTTTAGGATGATGATGATGATGAAGAAGAAGAAGATGATGCAGATTTGTCCAAGTACGATTTGGATGCTAGTGATGAGAAGAAAGGGAGTCCCTCGGGCTCCTCACGTTCATCTTCTCGCTCGTCCAGTTCAAGTTCCCGGTCTAGGTCCAGGTAAAAGGGTACAGGTCAAGGGTAACTCCAGGCAAATGTCAGTATCAGCTCAAATCTTTATTCAAATCTTATCGTATTAATCTGTTTTAATGTTTAATTTATCTTTCTTTCCCTTTTTGCTTCCTTTTAGTATTTGTAAAAAAAATATTCTGTCTTTTTCAACTGCATTTTTTTTATTCTGACATGATAGTATAAAACTTGATGCTATTTGATGAAAACAATCATGTAAATTCAATGCTCTGCAATTTTTAAGTAATCCACGCCATTAACACTACTTGAAAAGGGTTTAAAGATTAAACAAAAGGTCTTTATGCAAAAAAGACCTTTTATGCAAAGATTAAGTAGATATTTTGTCTGAAAAATGCCAAAGCTGATCTTTCCTTTTTTTTAAACACTTGTCATTTGATAGTGACTGTTCTTGGGTTTTCATTAGAATGTCTTTAACTTTCAGAAAAATTGGAAATTTGTGGTGTGTTTTTGTTGATGCCCGTGTTTTGCAGATCCCGGTCCAGGAGCTCATCCAGTTCCCGATCTCGCTCTCGCTCCAGGTCCAAATCCAGGTGAATGAGGTCACATCCACTCTCCAGGAGAGAGAGTGTGTGTGTGTATGAACAGCCAGTTGCTGTAGTGAACTTAAACAGAAGTCGACTTTTTATCTCTGTTATTAACATGAGGGAGCAGTGAAATGTAGCTTTATTTCCTTGGGAATTTTTGCACAGGATTTTTTGACTTTTTGTTCAATTTATCTGATAACACTGACATCTGACAGGCAATTATAGCTTCAAGTTGTTCTGAAACTCTTGATGGGTTCTGCTTTGTTCTTTTGAAAAGTTCAGCTGGTCAGACCTGCAGCTTTAGTCTTTTTCAGAAGTTGTAGTATTTACTGTAATATTTAGAGGGCTGTGGATGGATGTTTTCCTCCCATTTCAGTCCCTTTGGTAGTGTTATTATAGTAATCTGTATAGCGATATTTGTTGACCTCATGTGAATGCTTATTTATCCCCTTTGAAAGATCCAGCTCCAGATCAGGAAAGGGCTCTGCTTCCTCAAAGAAGAGGTCTCGTTCCCCTTCATCATCGCCTGAGGGAGGCCAGAAGAGGAGTCGTTCCAGGTCCTCCTCTGGTGGCCGCAAAAAAAGACGCTCACGATCGCACTCGTCTGAAAGGTTTGGTGTAACACATGGTGTCCTGGATATCAGGCGTCCTTCTGCATTATACACAGGGCTCAGTGCTAATACAGTACATGATTGAAACAAATGTGCTTTTCTCTGTACAAAACTTTATTCTTTGTTTTGATATCAAGAACCAAATCACTTAATCAGTCATGGTCCTTCTCCTTGTCTCTTTCTTTCTATCTCTCTTTAGGCGCAGAGACTCATCTGGATCGTCCCACTCTGGCTCAAGCTCAAAACAGAAATGATTAACAAAAGAAACAAATCTTTCTAAAACTGCATGTTGTTTTTTCCTACTCCAGTTTTGTTTTGTTTTTTTGTGCTATTGCAACTACCCAACTGTTTGAGTTCACGTTGATTTCCATGAAAAAAAAGGAAAAAAAAACTTGCGCACGTTCACATAACTTCCTCTCAAAAGAAATCTGTTTTTATTTTTTTGGTTTTTTTTACATCTAGCCAAATCTTTCAACAGCATAACTCAAGGTGTAAAGTCTATAGCGTAAGTGGGTTTACAGAGAAACAAGTCTGTGACTGTATAAATGGCACATATCTCCTGGACATCAAATTATGTAAATTGATATGGCAGAAGTAGTTTTATCCATCCATTGTCAGACAGTACTGCAGTCCAAATTACCAGTTTAACAATAAATTGTTGATTTAAAAAAAAAAAGATACTCATCAGATGCTGGTTTTGTAGATCTTTTGTGATGTAAAACACTTCACTTGAAATATTGGTGGTTTAAACATTATTTAATCACGTCAGCAATGCCAGCATCTGAAAGTTAAAAAGTGATTTTCCTCTGAGGCATAACATTGCCTTGTCTAATTGTGTGCGTTAAAGGTAAGTATGTTTTTTATACTTGTAGAGATTTATTTTTTTCTGGCAAGACAGATGAAATGTTAATTTTGTTTGTCCTTTTTTTTTGGTCTTAATTTTGAGATTCATCACTTGTTGAATTAAGAAACGTTTTAAAGTGCACAAACTCAAATAACTTATGTCGTAAATTACTGGTTATGTTTTTTCCGTGGTAAAATCAAATTTGGAACATGTAATCTGAAATATTCAACCATCCCCACCCCCTTCTGACGTGAAATATGAAAATGTTTTACTGTTCATTAACATGACTTGACAGTGTAATCAACATGAATAAACACTTGTTAATCTGAATCTCTTGTTTGCACTGTTTTTGTCTTTCCATGTTTATTGTATTGGGAGATGTGATGAGAATTTTTCTCCCCAATATTTCTGCCTCCCAAGGGGAGACAAACTCCCAGAGGCTACCACGCTGCTACTTATGGGGAATGTTTGTGAAATTACACATTAATTTATGCTTTATGTCCTTGTCTATTTTATAGAAAATTTGTATTATGAGTCTGTATGAATTATTGTTAACGAGCAAAATACACATTATAGCGACGAGTTGCTGAGAATCGTTTCTCGTGCGCTAGATGGCACTTGTTGCGTTCAAAACCATCTGTGAGCTAGCCTGGTGGTGCAGGGGAACATTATCGAATAAAACATTTAACAGTGAATTTGTATCCCCGTTTAGAGATTTGCCTATCACCAAAGTTATTTGTATTTTGTTTGTTTTTTAAATAGCGATCGTTAAACCTAAAATCTCCTTGAGAAATTAAAAAAAAAAGTTCACCCACTAAAAGTTTGTGTAATTCACATTCTCGCTACAAACGCTTGTTTAACTACATTTTGGTTAAAAGTATTATTCCTTCGGTCATACAGAAACGAATGTGTTCCATCGGCTTTGGTTGAAGGCCACATTTTCTCTTTTCTGACATACACCAAACAGCAGAAAAAAAATCTTACTGAGTTCGCATTTGGAACTGAGCAACACGTGTAGCTTATATAGGCTATATATATTAAAACAGTATTGTTGAAGTAAATATATTCTTTGTGGAACTTGCACTTCTGTTGTCTTTAATTCTCAGCATATTTTACATTTCCATAAGGGTCCCGCCTCTGTGTTTATAGCGCGCGCTCGGACAGCAGAGCGCACAAAGTGAGACGGACTTCACTGAGGACTCTACTTGTTCAAAGAGCTACTGTGGCCATGAACACGCTCCCTGAAAAAGGATGACATCCAAATGTAAGTCTTCAGATGTCTTGCCACAAAACCTGACTGCTGGAACCATGACGTGGGAGAAGAACGTCTCCAAATCTTCGCAGGACAGAACGGGCAACGGCGCCAGCTGTGGCTCAGTGTCCGTGTTTTTCCCCATCGTTATGATGATCACTGGAATGGTCGGAAACACTCTCGCGATGCTGCTAGTTTCTAGTGCATACAGAAAAAAGGAAAACAAAAGGAAGAAATCCTTTTTGCTTTGCATCGGCTCGTTGGCGTTAACTGATCTTTTCGGCCAACTGCTTACAAGTCCGATTGTCATTTCTGTGTACAGAGCAGATCTGAAATGGAAACGCGTGGACCCATCGGGAACTCTATGCGCCTTCTTCGGTGTGTGCATGACCACTTTTGGCTTGTGTCCTCTCTTTTTAGCCAGTGCCATGGCCATTGAAAGGGCCTTGGCCATCACTGCTCCTCACTGGTACTCACATTACATGAAAACCAGCGTGACCAAGCAGGTTCTGGTCATCATTTGGTGTCTAGTTTTGATCTTTGCCTTATTGCCCATTGCTGGGGTTGGGCAGTACACTTTGCAGTGGCCAGGCTCTTGGTGCTTCATAAGTACAGGTGACAAGGACATAACGGGAAATACGTTTTTTGCCACGACCTTTGCGGCATTGGGGATATTTTCTTTACTGGTTACTTTGTCTTGTAATGTTATGACAATTCGTGCATTGGTTACACGTTGCAAAACGAAGTCAAGCTCGACCCAGTCGTCCAAGCAATGGGAAAGGTTAACAACAGAGACTGTTATTCAGTTGATGGGCATTATGTGTGTCCTGTTGACTTGCTGGTCACCTCTACTGGTATGTATCATATCAGCCTTTGCCAGACACACTTACTGTAGTCGATATCAGATGAAAGCTTGCAGTGTCATTCCTGCTCAAACTTTAATGTACCCTGCTACAGAAAGCCTCAATTGATATTGGATAAAACCGAATATATGAATTTCTAGGGTGAACTCCATAGGTATTTACTTGTACTGTACATGTTCACTGTAAAAAAAAAATATGACCAATAAGTTATGACAACATATGTTTATACAAGATTCAACTCGTTTTTAAAGTTAATTTAATGTAATTTAAGCTGAAATGTCTTAAACATCCAAGTTGATTGTACTTAAAAATTGAAGACAGCAAACATTTTTTACAATGTTGAGGAGGGCTACTTGTTACAGTATGTTTTTTTAGCATTCATTTGAAATTAGTTACTGTTTACCCTGTGATTTCTATCCAAAAAGAGTTGCTGTTATGATGACATTCTGCAGAAATGCCAGTTTTCCCCAGTTATGTAATTTCATAACTATAGGCCCACACAGAATATCCAAATTCATTTTTTGTGGAATGAATTGACTATGTTATGGCCAATAGTAATAAATTGCAGATATTCAAATTTAATACAATTTTGCCTAAATATTTTTTTTTTTAAATAACACCCAACACTAATTAACCATTTTAACAAGACATCACAATATAATTACAGTATTTTGAGATCTAATAAAGATTACATTTAGCACTGTTATTAAATTATAAGTGTTTTTAAATATGAACTTAAGTGAGCGTTATTTGACGCCAAAGGTCATTTAAATGTAAAATTAGGGGAATCAGATTACTGCACAATTAAATATCCAATTTTAGTCAATACATATCCCATATCAACTGATAGCGATTATTAAAAAAATGACAAATATCCATAAAACAGCATTTCCTGGAACTAAGAGTACTGAACTTTTATTGGTACCTAAATAAAAAAATGTGCAAAAATATTTAATGAACAAACCTGCGGGGGTGTAAAACTTTTAAATCTTACAGAAATCTGCTGAGCAGTCTTTGGAAGTCTATAAGCACAAAGAACTTTTATTAATTTCGAATGAAAAAAAAGTATTTTTTTTAATCATTCTTATATAATATGCCCATTTTGGTGTGTCTCCTCCCATTCTGCAGGTCCTTATGTTGAAGATGATCTCGACCCACACATCCTCCCATCAGTGCGGTTCTGCTGCTGTATCTCTCTCACCCAAGGACTTACAGATGGACTGTAATTTCTTTCTCACAGCCATACGTCTGGCCTCGCTCAATCAGATTCTAGATCCGTGGGTTTACCTGCTCCTGAGAGAGATCCTCCTGAGGAAGTTCTGCCAGGTGGCCAGCGCAGTATCCAAGTGCTCACTGGACGCACAGAAGGAAACCCAGAGTCCTCTAGATGCCCTAAACAAAAAGGCCATTCAGAATGATAATGTTCACAAACAGTCCCTGAACATGGAGAACAGTAACTTGAATGGGGGCCAAGAGGAACAGTGACAGTTGTGCAAAAACGGAATAGGAATAAAACAAGGAATAAAATGACAAAGGGTATACCCCATGATCAGAAAAATGATTAGGTGGAAACTTTCTGTGGATTGGTTCATTGATGTAGGTCGATGTCATCAGCATTCTACCGCAAACCCATCACTTTTTTGTGTCACTGTCACAGTCAACACATTCATTTTGTTCAGAGTCACTCGGCGACCTTTGAAGTGAAACAAAATGGCAAGACCTTAAAATAATGACATATGCAGGGTTCCCACTGACATGAAAATATCATGCAAGGTTTAAAAAAAATACACAAGTTAAGATGACATTTTTGAGTGGTGCATTAACATTTATGTTCAGCTTGTAATTATTTCATAGAAAAAAATATTTTACATAAAAACAATGGAAACAAATTGTTCAAAAGATCTGGGGATCTACAACAGCAATATTGGCAAATTAGATTTAGTTCAAAGCAAAATCATAAACTGATGTTTGCCAGCTCCCATGGAGACTACATTCAGTACATTATACTTTTATTCACATGCCAAGTGCAAGAAAAAAAAATTGAAGGAATGTTTCTGCTTAATTTGCAGTAAAGTGCTGAATGGTCTCAAATACCTCCTGCTTTGCATATTTTCACTCATTTTAAAGCCTCTTACAAACACTCTAAACTTTTATTTCATTTTGTTGTGTGCATTTCTCAATGCCAAGCCTGCAGGACTCTTTTTGAGGTTGATAGCCATAAACGTGGATATGTTTAATTGAATTCCATGCTTGAATTTTTCAGTTGGATTCCTGAGTGAAGTTATAGTGCGAATGGCTCTAATTCATTAGTGTGTTGAGATGCTTCTGGCCTTAGAACAGCTCTCATTTTTTGATGCACAGAGTGCCTCAAGGTGCTGCATCTTTTATGCGCAATATTCTTGATAACATCTGTTGTGATCATAACCAAAAGCCTTTAAAATTCAAATGGAAAGCAATTTCAACAAATGATGCTGAGTCATTCATGGAAATTGCTTTTCATACCAGTCATTGTAAAGAGGCCATTAAAGCTTTGGTCTTTCCATATTTTGCATCCTTTCAGTGGTATGTTATGTAACATTTGAGGTAGGTTGACTTTATGAAAGATATTTAATGAGCAGTTTAATGTTACACATGGCTGATAAGATGGCATGCAGTATTTTTTGTTTGTATAATTTTAATTGAACATGCATAAATTATTGACAAGGATGATTGAAGCTGTTCTTCTAATTGGGCCCTTCAGTTTCACATCTGTAATCATGACTGAACATCATCTTAGCATATTATATATTTTCACTGTGCAGTTGGTTATTGTTATAGAGAGGACCCATGGATCATTAATTATGCTAAACAGCAGGTTATATTCATGGCACATGCAAATACATCTGTGATGTATTAAAGAATATTAGAAGTAAAAAGGCACATTTTAAGCATTTATTCAAAGATTAATTACGATCTGTAATTTGTTAAAGGGAAATATTGTCAAAAAAAATTCTAAAGCTCTGCCTTTGTGCCTCAAATTCTTTGAAACCAGCTTAAATCTCCAGGACACTGAAAATGTTTGCAGTAATGATTGTACACCCTATACAGATTAAAAGAAAACGAGCGAGGAAGATGCCAAAGCAGTATCTGGGAAAAAGGGAGAGGAAATGTAATTGATTTCATAGAGCTCTGACCTCTATAAAATACATCAATGTGAAGCGGTGGCATGACCAGAAAATACATTTGAAAGATTGCAGGAAATTGCTAGTATTCTGTTTCCACCAAAAAGAGATTTTGGCAAATCCACATAACAACCTGATTTCTGATTGCTCTGGAAATGTTATGTGCAGGAGTCAATATGAGCTGGGTGTCAATGGGAGCTGGAATACTTTTTGTTAATGGATTTAACATTTGACATATGCTCTCAGGCAGTGATTACAGAGTAAAATTAATTAATCTGACATGGGACTTAATTAATAGTGAAATGAACGTTGCTCCGGTTGCACTGTCAGACGCGATTAACTTGGTGTTGTGCACTTGGGTAGCTGCTGAATGAGGAAAGGGAAAATATATGACTGCATAATATTTCATAGCTAAATTAAAAGTCCAAATGCAGGTCTCGCTTGTGCATTGAGCTGATAAACAAGGTCTGGCTTGTGACCATTCAGTGCTTTCTGCGTATGAATGTAACTGAGATTCTTACGAATCTTATCAAATCCAACATCAAAGCTGTTCAGAACATTGTATTTATGTTGCCAACAGCATCTAATCAGATTTTCTTTCATATAGAAAGGTTTATTTATATCACCCACCTAAACCCACTTGTCTTTCTTTCTTTCTAGAGAGCTTTTAATGTTTAAGAAATCAAAAGCAAACTAAAAGTATAAAAAAAAACACATAATGTTCATCAAAGACAGCTAATGTATGTCTTCAAAAGAAATATATAAATAATGGAAAAATTGTATGGACAAAAGCATGATGCTTTTGAGTCCCTCTTCTTTGTAAATGCATTTCCATTTATTCATTTTCCAAACCGCTTGTCCTACACTGTAAAACATTTTGTTGGTTTAACTTAAAAAAGTGAGTTACCTGGTTACCTTAAAATTTTTGAGTTCTTTGAAATTAAAAATTTGAGTTAACACAATAGATATTATTTTAAAACTCAAAATATCATGTTAACTGAACCACATTACTTACCTAAGTTGATTTGATGAAAGAAAAAAAGTTGTGATAAAAAATTATGAAAAATATTTTGTTTACAGTGTATGTAAACATGAGGAAAAAAAACAATCATTAAGTATCAATAGTTCTTGGGGCTACTGTAAGTGGATCTAGAACACAAGATGAACCATTGATTTATCTGTAATCATAATTCATTGTATATGTGCGAGTAATAAGAGCTGCCAGGTTTGTTTGCATGTGAAGCCACCAGCAAATCATTTTGGCTCTAGCCCACCAGTGAATGTCCTAATGCCAGATGCCAAATCACGAATGCCACGAAGTGTGGCAAGTCTGCATTAAAAACAACAGGGTTTCATGAATGTATTACGAGTTTTACATTTATTTATGTTGTAAGACAATGACAGCTCTGGCTGTGAACCCGGAGTCCCGGAGCTGTACACGCTAAGCTTGTATCAACAGATGGTCGTGGTGCTTCTTGTGTGTTTTTGATAAGAGATGTTTGCATATTCTTGCAACTGTTTGACATGTCTGCTAACTGCTCTGATGTGCTTGCCTTGTAATTGTGCCTCTAAAGTGTATCATTATTTGATTCTGTGCTGCCTGTGTTTTCTATTCACTGGGATGGACTGTGTTTCATGCCATTATCATAATTTAATTGGGAAGGAGGTTTGGCATATACCAAAGTGCTTCTGTAATAGTAAGCACCCCCATCCACATTTTGCACAATAACCAGGAGTAGTTTGATATGGTTGCAACATTTTCCATCAATTGTGTTGCTGAGGAATTATTTCAAATTACTATTTTGTTCAGGAACTTGTTCAAATCATTGTATTCTCATAATACATCTAGTAGAATATAACCAGGTGCCGGTTCTTTATTGATACATGAATAATCATATCGTTTTTATTTGGCTATATGGGAGATGGCTTTGTCATTTCCTATCCATATTAACACTGTCCCTATAGTGGGGAAAAAAACCTATACCAAAATGTATGTCAAATATATTTATTTTATACTAAGTATAGTGCAAATCCATCAACATACTTACTGACATATCGCTGGAGACTTACTGACATAAATAGGGGAGAGCGGGGCACAGCCTAACACTTTTGACTTTCTCAGTTTATGTAAATTCACTTGGGGTCCTTTTTTTGTTTTTTTACACATTAATTTCACACGTCTAGTACAATATGTGGTTTTGTTTCATTGTGTATACTTTTTTTTCTTGATTTACCCTGAAAGAATGGAAGTAAAATGTGACAACATGTGAGGGGCACAATGTAGCATGGCCATATGACAGCTTAAAATATTCTCTGATCTAATCAAAAAAATATACAAGACAAACTAAAATATTTTTTTCAATAAAATATAATTATAAACTTTTTCATATAAAATATGCCATTTTTTAATGATTAAAAATAAAGTATTTTTTTAGTTTGACAACAAAACAGCTACAGCATAGTTCAAAACAATAATAATTCATAATTTTTTAACATTGACTCTCAGTCTTCATTCACATTTTCTCATAGTTTCTCAATAGAATTTATAAACGTATAGAATAGAAAAGCGTCGTTTTAATAGGGGAACATTGTAACGCAGTTACAAAATTCCCCACTTGCGCTTTTAAACTTTTTTAACTTTTAAACCCTGCTGGTGAACTGCTAGTTAGACCAGCATTAAACTCAACTGTTAAATAACAGATATAATATTAAAATAATATCAGATTTTTCTAATATTAAATAAACACAAAAAACAGAGATGGAAAAATTAACTTAAGATATGTCATTTTGCTGTGGTTAAATAAATGTTCAGTGATATCTTCCAAAGACTTTTTAATTTGGGCAATCTTTTTATAGAGTTTTTATAGAGTAGCTTAATTATTCATAGGTGTGGTTTGGGCGTAACGTGAAATAAACCAATCAGAGCGTCGTCCAACATACCCTTTAAGAGCAGGTGTGCATGTTGCATGGCGGATTGCTATTATAACGGAAGATTTACCAGGCGCGCGCCAGGAGCGGTTCACAGCCGAGGAGACCGACGTTCTTGTCAGGACCGTGAAAGACAGAGAAGTGACGTTGTATGGGGATGGGAGAAACCCACCCAAATCAGCGTCGCTTAAACAGGCGTGGGAGAAAAAAAACAAAAAAAAAATTTACATCTTCATGGACACCACAAGGATTTCCTTGTTAATTTTCCTTGTTAATTTCCTTGTTTTTCTTGTTAATATTTTTCCTTGTTATAATGTATGATTTGCAAAAATAAAAACAGCTGCATCTGTGTTGGTGAGAGAATCAAAGTCAAGTCAAGTCAAGTCATCTTCATTTATATAGCGCTTTTAACAATGGACTGTTTCAAAGCAGCTTTACAGAGACAAACATATAATTCAAGGCAACAGATTGTTTTGGCGTTACAGCGGTTCTTGAACAATGTTACTTCCAGCCAAAGTTAACCTTGACTGATTCACCTCCGTCGAAATGATCAGACTTTAAACGCGAACCTGTGATTAACGCTGACGGCGTTCACATGCTCATTCAGAATTCTATAGTTATGTGCTTTTTAAAATATGTGCGCAGGTTTGTAATTCATACAACCCAGCCTAAACACTTTTCTAACCACTTTTCTAAAAACTACTTTTCTTGCCTATAAATTTTGATACAGAATTTTGTTTTATTTTATCACTTCGGGGTACGCGAGCCGGAATTCACAACGCTTTATCTGTAGAGTGGGAAAGGGATCCTCCATAGGGAGAGGATAGTAGATACTTCAGCACTGCATTGTCATCGGGTCCAGGCAAAGCTCCCTCGTCAGATCTGGACACTGCCTTGATCCGGCAGGCTGCGGGAAAACCTCGGGATAAACAAAGACACTAATATTAGCGTAGATGCCATT